TTGGTAGATAGATGAATGCTAAGTTGGGCTGATGACATTTTCTTCTAGCATGTCAGTGTTTTGAAGCTATGGGTAAGCTTTCTTTCACACATTACAGAAAGCCTTAGTGATATATATACCAAGAGCCTGAAACAGATGCAAATGGTACAAAAATGCCTTCCCTTGAAGGAAGTGGCTGAGTGGCAGAAGCAGCACTTTAGGTCTGGGAGAGCTGGAGGCAGAGAGGACATTTCCCTATGTTTAGAAAAGGCTGTCTTTGGATAGTTAACTTTCATAAAAGTGGTCTCCATTTGAAGCAAGTATCTTCAAGGACTTAAATCTGAAAGGACTTCTGCGGAAGTATAAGCCCCAGAGTATACATCTGAAAAGGCAGACTGCCTATTGATCCCAAGCGTACAAATTTTAGTAGAGATTTACCTGTACTAATATTTCTTATTAAGATTGTTTTTATTAGGGCTCTGGTTTTAGAGTTCTGCTTTCCCTACCAAGTCTTTTTAGGACTCTGCTTTCCCTCCCAAGGCCTACTTTCAGTGCATGATTTTGTAGAATTCAGACATTTAGTTAATACACGTTTGGCATTTAGCAGACTGTAGAATGCAGTCCCTGGCTCAAGGAGCTTAAAAGTTAAGTAGGGCAGTAAATCCAAATGGAAGAGTAGGGGGGCAGTCTTTAAGACTGTTTTGTTAGTGTTTCTCACTCACAACTGTGCCTGGATTCCACCCCAGAATCAAGTCATTTCTATTTCTCTTTTTAGCACTCTAACCTATTTTGCTGCCAGATCATCCTCAAGCTTGAATACATTAAAAATGTAAGGGTTCCTTGTTCAAAACTAAGTGTTCCTCTCCTGCCTAGCAACTCCTTAGCCTAATAGTTAAGGTCCTCTTTTTCAACCATTATCTGTCCTATGCTATCCTAAGCTGTGGCTCAACTAACCCACAGCCCCAAGTTTTGCTGTTTGTGATACTTGGTCCTTTCTCTCTCACTGACTGAAATCCAGCTCCAGTGGATCTTAACCCTGGAGTGCGTGATGGTACTTTTCCCTTATTTCCTTTTATATCAGTCATTTGTCTATCTTCCTGCTAGAGTTATGTTTCTTAGGAGTTGACACTTCATCTCTACAACCCTGTTCAAACTATCATATATGCAGTATGTTCGAAAGAATCTATTTTTGGTTACCTTCTGTGAATGTATTATCCTCCTTCTCTGTACAAGCACAATATCCCAGCTACTCTATGGGATGCTTATTTGTCGGCTTGTGTGGAAGCCCAACTGCCAAAACTAAGGGTGGTTCCCTACAGGAAAAACTAGCTAGAGAGGATCAAATGAACAGGAGATTTAGAAATAAAGCACCTGGGGTCAAAATTATCTGCCAGCTTCTTTGACCTTGGGACAAATTATGTCTGCTGCCTAATTTCTTCCTGTACAAATGCTAATTCTTATTATTTACCTCACAGGGACGATAAAATGGGCAAATATAACCCCCCCCCCCAAATAAGACTGTGCTGTTAGGACAACCTTCTTTCCTAAAATAACCTGTTCTCAACTATGGGCTACTGAGAACGCCTTCAGTACAAGGACAACCATACTGGAACACTGCGTAACTTTTTCTGGTCAAACAGCAATTACCATTTTATTTCAATTGACACTCTATAAACATTTCATCCTAAAATAAGGCATACATTTAAATCTCCCAACCAGGACCTAGGTATTGTTAACCCAGTAGGGGTGAAAATTCTCACCTATTAGCACTGAGAAGAGGTGGATTCAGTCTGTTTTGTATCCTATCCTTGGAAGGCTACCAGTATAATTTAAACAGAGTGGGAATAAATTCATAGCAAAACAGCAAGATGTCCAGGAAAGCTAATAGGGTTCACTTTGTAACTATCATATAATAGAAAGAGCCCCAAATATACACAGCTACAGAAATGGAGATCCTAAAGAGATAAACCACACATAAAGGTTGGCTGTGCATTTTACTTAGAGAATTCTAGAGCCTTCCCTTAGTACATATTCTGACTTGGTTTCTCAGTCTGCACTGTACCAGATTTACCAAGTTTTACGTAACAGATTTCTCTAATACTCCAGAGCTTGCTCCTTACTTCATTTTATCTAATGGCAGTAGTCTCTTGACTCAACTAGAGGCTAGGAATTTAGCATTTATTACAGTAGGAACAACTTCCAAGCACAAACGTAATTCACTGATCTACTAAGGTGATTTCTGAAGCTCTCTTCAGGCTTTGCTTTACCATTCACACAATACAGATCATTTCAATTTCTTCCCATTTCCTGTATTTTCTCCTGGGAACGGTTTTGTTTTTTGTTTTTTTTTAAACAAAGCCTGAATTCCAAGCTCAGGTTATGGCAAGACTTCAAAGTCGTCACTCCCAGAAAGGCTTGGTCCCAAGCTCAGCCTCACAAAATCTCTCATTCAGCAAATAGCGTGCATCCAATTGCTAAGGAGCCCTGTGCCAAGAGCCCAGCATCAGGAACAGGGACTGGATCCTGAATTCTGTCTACCACTTCCTAATTATGTCATTTGGGGAAAGTACTTACGACCTGCCACCGTCTCCTCACCTATAAACCAGCACTAAGAGGATGAAATGTAACAAACTCGGGTTTTCAGGAAAGCACTCAACTAAGAATGTGATTACACAATAGTGAGCAAATCAGACAAGATCCCTGACCTATCTTGATCACTTCGGGCTATTTTATATTGAAAGCTCGTTTTTTCCTAACACGGCCCTTCCCTCAACGATTTTCTAATCTTTTTAAAAACATCATATACTTAAGGCTGGTTGACTATTCTGTGAATGTTACATCTTTCCCCTTCCACTTTCTAGCTCTCCAAAGTGGGCCCAGTCATAGATGCAGACCTGTTTCTTCGGAAAACTCAAGAAAATTTACGTTTTAACACTTAAAGGCCCCCAACTGAGGACTGATCAACACTAAAAGGCTTGGTTTCTTTCCAAAAAATAAAGGCAAGACAAGAGTTTGAAGAGCACCATTCTGAAGCACTTTGATTTTTGTTAGCATAGTAAGAACTATGCTACCGAGTGTACACCATGTCATACTCATCCTAACTACACGGATTAGCAATAAGGAAGCCATTAAAATTTCCCGTCTCCAGCTTTAGCCTGGTATTTTACTGGACACAGTTGGTTATGGAAGCAGAACTCTGTTAATTTTTTCCCTAATGATTTTAGGAGTGGCAATACTTTATAAAAGATTTTCATGGCTACCAATCAACTATTATTGCCTTAAGCAAATTTAAAACAGTGAACCATTTTTAAAGTAAATAAATGTAACTGAAATAAGGAAAACCTCAAGGGCCTCATATCAACCCAACGCAGGAGCGTAAATTACAGAAGATTGACTGCTTACTCCTAGAACAAGAAAGGCTGCTCCTCTCCAGATGTCAAACCAAACACAGCAAAATAAAGAAGCCTTGATAAAATATGCTGAGAGCTAGAGATTAGGGTCTGAAAATGGCAACTTTGCCGACCTCTAACCTTCTTCTCCCTCTGGCGTTATTCCACATTTTTCACTAGCCATCTTTCTGCTGTCAGAAAACTTTAAATGAGGAGGCCATTAAAAATATATATATGTACCAAGTATAATTATGCCAAGTGCTTGCGAGTTAAGGGTCCACTTAAAAGTGGGATTTTAAAAAACCAGACCGAATGGGGGTTTCATTTTAAAGTACGGCGTCTGTTTGGCTATTCCACAAACATCCCTAGGTTTAATCCGAAAACGCAAACTGCTGTAACGTGGAAGAAAAATGTAACAGAGGCAGAGGCATTAGAGCTTGGGCTGCAACACGCCATTTCTGCCGCCTCTGTTAGCACTCGAGGTTTATCTGGCTTTACACTCATTTCGCGTGTTAAAATGGTGACTCCCGCCAGAAGCGACCTCTACGGCCTGGGACCTTACCGCGGGCCGGGAGGCGTCTCGGCCTCAGGTCCTCACGACCGCCCAGCAGAACATAGGGCTGGGCCAGCCCCTTTGTCTCCTCTATCAACCCAGAGAAGGGAAGAAAGGAAGGAAGGAAGGAGAAAGGAAGGAAGGAGAAAGGAAGGAGGCAAGGAGGGAGGGAGGGAGGAAGGGAGGGCGGGAGGGAAGGAGGGAGGGGGCTAACTAATACCTCCCAGCCCCGGGGCCAGAAGAAGGGTCGGGCGAGGAAGGGGAAGGGCAAGGACCCCCACCCTGGCCCGCACCGGCCCCCCGCCCCTCGGCCCCCTCCGGCGCCCCGCCGCGGAGGGCACAGAGCGCGCTGGCGGCCCTCACCTCGTCCTCCTGCTCGCTCCGGAAGCACAGGCACGCCGCCCGCTTCTTGAAGCCCTCGCGGTCATAGGTCCGCGTCTGGTTGGGCTTGAACTTCATCATAGAGGCAGGCTCTTGCTGCCGCTGCTGCTCCGGCCGCCGCCGCGGGGACCCGGCCGCCGCCACCCCGCCGGGGAGTTGGGGCGCAGGCGAGTCGGGGCACAGGGGCGCCGGGAGGCGAGGCGGCGGCGCGGGGAGTGGCAACGAGGCCGGTCAGTCCCGGAGCCGGCGGCCGCTTCGACGTAGGGCAGGGCGCAAGCGCCGGTCACTGCAGCCCGGGTGCCGGAGAGGAAACGCCGCCTCTGCCCGGGCGTCCGCCGCTCTCCATGGAGCCCGCCGCCCGCTCGCCTCCGCTCCCTCCTGCTGCTGCTGCCGCTGCCGGCAACGCCGTCTCCGTCGCCGTCGCCGCCGGGGGAAGAGCGAGGCTCGATGCTCGATGCTCGCGCCACAAGGAGACAGTTATAAGAACTCGCGGCGACTAGGCAGCAACGCCGCAGCGACTTCGCACCGCCCCCACCGCCCCTATATTTAAGTGGGCCCGCGCAGCCCCGCCTCCGCGCGCCCCGCCCTGCGCGCGCCCCCGCGCCTGCGTGCCGGGACCGTTGCGGCGGGGGAGGGGCGGCGGGGGGCGGGGTCTCCGCCGCGCGGCCGCGTGGGTTCCTCGCAGCCTGAGAGTCTGGGGTTGCGTCCAAGCGCGGGCTGCCGGTAGCCCGCCAAAATACCCGTGAGGAGGAAGAGGCAAAGACCCCTCCTTCCCTGTTTATAAACACCGCTACCTGCCCCGTGGAGACCTTAAATATCATCTCCAGGAGAGGAGGTCCAACTACGTACATCCTCACAAAAAGTTGCACCCCGGTCAGGAAATGCCTGGAGGCATCGCAGCGATGGCAGTCTCCGCAGTGACTGACGTCCCGAATTCGCCCGTGAGGTGCGGGGAGACGAGGGGGTGAAGGCCTAGAAAGGGGAAGACGCTGATTAAGAGGGTTCGTTTGGAGGGTTTTAGGGGTTTTGCTTGTTTTCCAGAGGAAAGAGAGAAGGCACATTTCCTTTTTTTCCCCTTTCTTTTAATCTTTGGTTAGGGGGTCGTTTGTATTCTTTCAAGAGTCCGTTCGAGCTTGAATATTTCTTTGAAGCTATGGGTAGCATCTTCCACTTTGTCCCACGCTCCGGAATGTGTTCATTAATACTGGCAATGGCTAGTATTTACGAAGTGTTTTGTGCTTGTATTTCATGCTAAGTAACAGGCACAGCTAGGTACTGGAGCCACACGCTAAATAGAGTAGGATTTCTGCTATCTGGGAGTTTCAAGTCTTCTGGGGACTTGGGACGAACAACCTTTCCATTTCAGAGTGTCACTCACGTTTTAAGATTGGAGCCAGGAGGCCCCCGGTGTTAAGGAAGCCAACCCAATCCATCCTGCCCCCTCCACAGAGCCCAGGCTACTTAGTTCCAGGCACGTGTGACTCTTCGGTTTTCATTCCTAGAGGGCCTACTGTGTGCCAGACACTGGCATCTAAAACCAGCCCCTGCCCTTCCAGGATCTTTGGCACCTGAGAGCAGATATAGTCAGATATCAAACAATCACACGAGTACATGTAAAACTACAAATGTGATAAGGTTGAAGGTGGTGGAGGGTTTCCCAGGGAGATATGACCAGACCTGCGAGTCAGAAAAGGCTTCTTGAGGCAGGAGGTCAAGAGCTTTGGTCAAGGGCCAAAGGAGGGGGAGCTAAGGCCACCAAGAGCCTGGTGAACTTTCAAGGCTGAGGGAACTGGGACATATGTAGAGTCCAGTGGGAGAAGGAGCAAGGAGCAAGGAGTAAAGGCCCATGCGGCTGCAGAGGGGGTGGGGGTAGCTGGGTTCCACCTTTGGCCCAGGGGGCTGTGATGCCTGACTGTTCCCAGCCTGGGGTCCCTTGGAGAGTCCAGAGTAGGGCACTGGTCTTCCTGTTCTAGATTCTGACCTCCAGGTTCATGACCGCTGCATCTAACTTCATCATCTTCTTATCTCCAGGGCCAGGCAGATGCAAGTTTGTACAATAAGTTAATGTTGAATAAGTGATTTAAGAAATGAGATTTTACCATGGCACAATTGGAAATCTTATCAAGTCTGTGCAGGGACATTTTCCAAGACTTAGCGTTCTTACAGAAGCTGCCTGAAGTTTATTTCCCGATTTATAAACAGGGACCGAACACATGTAGCTAGGGGCTCCATTTTGGCTAATATGCAAATATTATTTTAAGATAAGTGGTTCAAATTGATAAAATGATTAATCTCACCATGGTCTTTTTAAATGATAAAGAACATTAAGTTTCTCTCTGCTTTAAAGGTCTAGCTTCTATTTTGTGTTCAGTGAATATTAGTTGATTGGATGTTGATCTACTCAAATCTTTCCCATTTCGTAATTACATGAGGTGAGGCATGAATCAGAATTAACTGAGGAGGAAAAGAGGAAGATGGCTGGAACAGACTCATTGAAGGGAGGAAAAACTGCACAGAAAACTGGCGAGCATGAGCATGGGACCCCTTGCTTCAGGTTCCAGACCATTGCATTTGGTTGAAAAGATCTTGAGTTCAGGTCTCACCTGCACCAATCACTAAATGTAACTTTTCTCACCTGTCAAATAGATGTAATATCATTTATACCATCTTCTACAAGACCACAGTGAATCTGAGGGTGCTTTAAGACTATAAAGCATTTAAACATAGGATATTATTAATAAGAACATTTTCTCTGGAGATCTATCCTCCTCCTCCGTTTCTTCAGGGAGTAGAGGAATAATGCAGAGGGCCAGGTGCTTGAAAGGACTGTGAGTTGTGAGGGAAGGGTTTTAAAAGGAATTGTGCAACAATTGATTTGAAGGGAAGAATGCTATTCTATAAATAACCACCCCCTACTTTTTTGTTAGTTTATTTATTTATTGAGTTAGTTTTTGCAATTATTTGAGAAACACCTGAGAGAAAAGGAAATTTTTGTCTGACTAAAATGATAGAATAGAGAAAGGCTGAATTACAATGCTGGATCTTCATTTTTCTATGTCAGTTCCTCAGTAGTAGGGTGCACACCCCAGCCCAAAGCTTCCTGCTTAGTATTGTCTAACAGGTATTATGCATCTGAAAAGCGCTTAGGCACTGTTTAAAGCTTAGATCATATCCAGCCAGATCACAGTTGAGATAGACATGAGGTTGTTTTTCCTCTGCAGGGCCAGTAAGGACTGGGCTACACCGGCCGGTTTCCTTGGGGATCAGAGTCCAATTTCAGGTTAATCCGTTTAGTGCACTTAGCGTAGTGTTGTCTTACCTGGAACTTACTACACACGGAGCCCTTTCCTGTACTATTTTCAAATACTTGAAGCCATCAGAGAGAACTAACATTCCCTCTCCAGGGTACTTCTTTTCCCAGGGTCTTTTTATGGGAGGCAGTACAATAGGGGTGCTGTGCAGGGAGCTTTCTGCTTTCTCTTGTAATTGACTCACAACGTTACCATAAAGTAAGTTCTATCTCTCAAGGTAAAACTGATCATGCCAAATCATCCCTTCCTATGTCTTTCCAATGATAATAATAGCTAGTCATTACTGAATGTTACTCAGTGCTGGGTGCTTGTCATGATCATATTTGAATGATCCCAACAGCAGCATTATGAGACAGCTACTATTTATCATCCCCATTTTACAGGCAAAGAAACAGGGATGGCCTTTCTCTCTTTGCAGCCAATATTCTTAACTCCTGCACTGTATCACTGTAAGCTTGTCTCGCCTCTTTTATTACATGGTAATTATTTTGTATGTGTTATGTTCTGACACTGGGATTTCTTTCCATTTTAAAATGAAAAAGCTTTGTTTAAGGTAGGATGGTAAGAGAAGCTCTTCTAGTGCAAAATGGAAGTGGAAGTCTTGATTACAATTTCATGTCATCTAAAGTGATTTTGTTTCTTTTACAAAAGGCACAGATTAGAATGGAATAAGCAATAAACTAAAGCTTTGGGATTAAAAATCCTAAAAAAAATTAATGCAACCAGCATTAGCAAGACTTTAAAAGAGACTGGTTTGCCTGTTTATAAACTTCTCTTTCATTGAAGTAAACAAATGATTTTCAGATTTACAACTCATTTTCTATTTCCTCAATTCCTATTTACTGCAGAGCCCTTTGCTTCACATGCATCATGTTTACGTGCAGTTCTGGGTGGCTAATAAAAGTGTTTACTGGGAAGCACAGCTCCCACTTTCCTTCTTTATCATTCAGGGGAAGGTATGCCAAGTGCTTATCTCCTCAGCAAAGGCAGTGACTAGACGTTTTCATCACCTTCTTCAGGACAGCATTTTAAACTCCTGCTTCATTCAGAATTGCTTCTTTTTGCTACATAACAATTCTGCTATTTTCATTTGAGGAGAAAAGCAAAAAAAAGAATGTTTGCCCATAAGAGACATGTTACTCAATTGTAATGTGTGGACCTTGTTTTGATATAGATTAAAACAAATGAAAAATAAACAAGAAAAAAGACATAGGGCGATTAGGGGATGTGGACACTGGTTTATGATATTAAGCAACTGTTGTTATTTTGGGGGGCTGTGATGTTTGAAAAGGGAACTCCTTACCTCTTAGAGATATATACTAAAACATTCAGAGCTGAAGTGATATGATATCTGAGATTTCCTTCAAAATAATCTGGGTTGTTGGAGCAGGGAGGATGGGTTGGGAGTGTGGAGGAAACTAGAGAGGCCATGAGCTGATTGTTGTTGAGGTTGTAAGCCATTAGGAAAATGGAGGAGAGGAAGGAAACCGAAAGGAGGAAAAGAGAAATATTTTATATTTCATGGGGCATGGAAATGAATCTCTGTTAGAAAGAAGCTGTACACACTCATAAGTATTAGATTCTAGAATGATGAGAATAACCAAAAGTGCAGTTTGCAAGTTATGCAATGTTTTTATAAAATATAAAATAGAGAAATAGGACATAAAAATTACCTGTGCAAAAAGTTGTGACCAATATTATTTCATGAATTGAAAAAAATTTAATGGTTATTTCTATGTGAAAATTTAATAGTGATTGATTTATCAGCATTCATCTTTGTGTGGTGAAACAGAATTTCATTCTTAGAACTAGACTACAATGGGCCCCTGGGTGGCTCAGTTGGTTAAGCGACTGCCTTCAGTTCAGGTCATGATCCTGGAGTCCCAGGATCGAGTCCCACATTGGGCTCCCTGCTCAGCTGGGAGTCTGCTTCTCCCTCTGACCTTCCCCCCTCTTGTGCTCTCTATCTCATTCTCTCTCTCAAATAAATAAATAAAATCTTAAAAAAAAAAAAGAACTAGACTACAAGCCCTAGGAGGGCGGAAAGCCCGGGTGATCCAGTGATACTTTAGTGTTACAACTCAGTTATAGGCTATGAGACAATCCATAGATATATGTTGCTGATTTCTTCTTTTGGCATAGTTACTGTATCATATATCATATTCCTGTATAGAAAATGCAAATACAATCACTCTCTCCGTTTCCCTCTGTCTCCTCTCTCCCTCTCTTTCTCTCTCTCTCTCTCTCTCTCTGGCTATTTATGCTGATTTTTAAATCTGTCCTTGATTTTTGTTTGTTTTGGTTTGGGGCTATATATATAAAATTATATATATTTACCCTAACTGAAGAATATGATCAACTCAGTCCTCAGAACCTGACATTTATTTCTCACAGTTTTGGAGATTGGAAAGTCCAAGATGAAGATGCTGGCAGATTCAGCATGTGCTGAGAACTCACTTCCTCACTCATAGATGGTTCCTGGTTCTTTGTGTCCTCACAAGGTGGAAAGGGCGAGGGAGCACCCCATAGTTTCTTGTAAGGGCACTAATCCCATTCTTGCGGGCTCTGCCCTGTGACTTAATCATCTCTTAAAGGCCCACTTTCTAATACCATCACATTGGGGTTTGGATTTCAA